TTATCTGTCCTTACACAACTTATTCTATTAGTCTAATATGTGTTAGAATCTGAAACAGAACTACATTCTGAGTTACAATGTGTACTAATATAACAAGAACCTAACTATAAAACCTGCTAGTCTACTACATTTGTTACTAGTTCTGAATGTGTATTTTGAGAGTATTATAATTGACTTTGTTGGACTGTTGCTAGAAGACAATAGATACAATAGAATAGTGACAATGACAGATTGACTAGGTAGTGTAAACATTAGGATTGAACTGTATAAGATAGACATGATAGTAGAAGAATTTGTAGAACTATTCTTTAATAAATAGTATTGTAAAAACAGTTTACTTTAGGAAATTGTTTCTGACTAGGACTATCTGTTCCTGTCCAGATTTTAGACTGTATTACACATAAGGACAGGTATAAAGCTGAAAATGTTGACAGTATACTACTCAGAGACAGATAGAGCAAGTGAGTATACTAATAAGATAGTAAGTTAGTTGTTACACTTTTATGTTGATTACTAACAGTAGGGTTGGCAGGCTCAGCTCTCATAAGTTTGGTTCTGTATTATAAATATAGTAAACACTTCTATAGAATATTCCCTGTTCTAACTATGTTATGAATGCTTACTATAGACAGTTCTACTGTTTACACAACTAGAACAGTTACAAGCAGATTCTCTAAAAGTATAAGTATTAGAATTCCTAGCCTGTATACATTAGGACATTATAGAGGTACAAGACACCCTTCTAACAGTTAAGACCTGTTAGACACATTATACAAATCAGAACTGTATTACAGAAGATTGTTTTGTAGTAGGAGACTAAGTTATACTCTCTATACACAATTACTACTAGGACTACCTTGTACAAACACTAGGACATGCTACAAAATTCATGCCTTACTATAATAGACTATACTTTATTATTATAGTAAACTTAGACAAGTCAGAATATACTCTAGAGCTATCTGACTCTAATCAAACTTTCCTAGGATTCTATACAAGCTAACTCAAGCATTACATTCTAAATAATAATACACTCTTTCTACAATGTGCTCTTGATTGACTGAGTCTGGTGGAAGGAGAGGAGGAGGTTTACAAGGTATTGTAGATTGTGAACACAAGGTATAGAGAGTAAGGTTGGTAGTATTTGGTAGAATAAGTAGGATAGGGTAAACAGAGACAAGAATAGAAGGTACAGTCAGAGCTCTAAAGGTCAGCCCCTAAAGTTCTACAGGCCTGGTTAGCTTCACATCCCTATGAGAGTGTCATTTTTTAGAGGTAGGAGGGGTGTAAGCCTGTCTAACAGTTTACAACAGTTTCTACATAGTTCTACACCTGTCCTAGTACAGAACTGTGTTTCCTGTATGTAGATTCTTACAGTGGCTCACTAAGTTACACACTTTTCCCTTTGTGCTTACATTAAGTCCCCTTTTGTTATAACCACCTTCCCTACATTTCTAGATACATACTATCTCCTTTTGTCTTCCTTTTTAAGTATGTATTATGTTCCTCCTTTTTTTGTTCCTCCTTTTATTTTCCCCTTTAGGTATGAACCATTTCCTTAGTATATATAGCTAGTATCCTTTACCTTTGTTGTATCAGTTTGTATTCCTGACTGTAACAAAGGTGAGTTCTTTGTCTATACATGTATTAGTTTGTATTCCTAACTGTAACAAAGATACCTTTGTCCTGTCAGCCTTTGTGTGTTGCTACAAACTCAGAACTTGTTTGTAACAGTGTTCAGCACTTCCCTAGTACTGTTCCATAGTAAAATTTTGCTTAGAATAACAACTGTATAAAAGGGAAAGAGTGTAATAGTATTATTGTCTCTTTTACAGTTTCTCTACTAAATGTACATACAAACAGTCAGACTGTCTCCTTAAATGATAAAGTAGTAGAGGTATTTATACTATATTCTAAGAAGTTAAAGAAGGTACTAGTTTAAATTAAAATTATAAAGGTTTTATTTATACTTATAAATTTAATATAGAAAAAGTCAAATATTATCTTTCTCTTTTATAAGTAAGTTGACTCAAGTCTGAAAGTATCTTAGTATACAGATTACACTACTTTAGACACTTGATTAGAGCACAATAGCTATTCCAATTTGAGCCAAATGTACTCCTAGTAGTTATGTATAAGTTTGCCACACTATATTAAATAGCTTGTACTTTTCTAGGCAGCTAGCTGACAGACATTTGTAACAATGTTGAATTTCATTTCTTTGTTTTGAAGCTAATACTTCCTTACTAATATACTCTCCCTGTAATTAAATCAGAGCAATGTCAGAGCTGATAATTAGGATTCTACAGATAGAAACCTAAAGTTTACACTTTCAGTTAGCTTCTCCAAGCTCATACTACACTTTATGATAAGAGCAAAGTTAGGACATCTATTTTTACAAACAATCAACTTTGCACATCCTTCTTACTCCTATAAATCAAGACTAGTTTTACTGTTGCATATGTGGGGGAAAATAACTTGAATACCTATTCAAACCATGTCAGCTACCACCTCAAAGAAACATACCAAATACAAGGTCTCTATTGAATCACCCTATGCAAGGGATTTCTCACATGTGTTCTATATTCAGAAATCTCCTGAGGGAGAATCTAAATTCTGCCCATCCAATACGAGTCAAAGCGAAGACCCTCCGGGGCTGCAAGCTGAAGTCCACATAATGAAAGACTCAAAAAGTATGTACTTGGTGCATATATCCAGTTTAACTAGGAATGATTATTTACAATTACGGTCGACGCTGTAAACTTCAATTTGCTTGTTACTGAAGTACCTTCAATGGTCTTTCGAAAGGTGTCTGATTGTGCCGCCGTTGGTTCCGCTCACGTTGGTTAGCGGAAACACAAAGGTGTTCATAAGGCTTCCAGATGAAATGAATAGATTGATGGTACGCATACTCGAAGTGCGTAACCATAAGAGTCCTATGAAGATAACAAGCGAGTGGATTGCAACTGAAGATTGCAAACATGCTGATTCAGGAAATGTACACTATACAGCTTCGTCCGGTTGAATACAAAGGAACCATTTTCGATTCCGAGCTACGTGCAGACTTTGTCGGCATTTATGAGCCTGCTATATGCCAATATTCGCTTTTCTGCGTAGTTAGTTGGCGGAATAGTTGCAATGACGTCGAATTTCATTATCTTCTTTTGAAACCCTCTCCTTTTTTGATAGTATACTGTCATTGTAGTCGAATAAGAGTGACGTTGAAATCGATAATTAGACTTCCGTGATTAGAAGCCCAACGTTTGCGTCTTTGTTAAACTTTCTACGAGCCCATGTGGCGTATCAATAGTGAAACAAAGTTAGGACGACGATTACCTCATTTTTACAACGATCAATCAGTTTTGCACAGTGTTGCAAAGCCTATAAGTCAAGACGACCGTTGCTAATGTGGATGAAGCCAAAGATCCCCGAATCTTGATTTGAACCACAGGCATGTCTGCCACCACCTCAAAGAAACATACAAAATACAAGGTGACTATTGAATCACCAATCAAGAAAGCAGAAAAATTCTCACAAGAATTCTGCATTAGGAAATCGCCTCAAGGAGAATCCGAATTCTGTTCGCCAGATACTTCTTACGAGGACGACCTTCCGGCATTAGAAGCTGAACTCCGCACGACGAAAGACCCTAAAGTATGTAAGTGTCTGTTAACTTGACTAGGATTGATTACTTACAACTAGGTGGGGATGCTGCAAAATTTCGTTTGTGTGTCACTAAAGTATCTTCAATGGGCTTTTCAACAGTTTGGAATTGTAATACCACCGGTTCTGGTTGAGTTTGTGGGCGGAAACACAAAGCAGTTTGTAAAACTTCCAGATAAAACACATACACAGATGGAACGCTACCTCGAACTGCCCGAGAGAAAGGGGTTTATTACGATAAAAAGCGAGTGGATTACAACTGAAGATTGCGATCATGATGATTCGGGAAAGGTGCATTACATAGCTTCATCTGGTTGAATAGGAAGGAGCAGTTGTTCGAGTTTGGACTGCTTGTACGCTTCGTAGGCACTTGTGGATAGCAAGACTTTTGTATGACCCTGCTGTGTGCAAAGTACTAGTGTACCTGGCCAGTTAGTGCGCCGTGGAAGCGTCGAAATGTCATCCCTTTCTTTTGAAGTCCTTTCTCGTTTGTACCTGCAATGTTGGGACTGCTCCATCACGGAGCCGTACAAATTTAACAATTGAGTGAATCACGACTGAATGCTGCACTCACAATAATTCTGGGAAAGTGCATTATATAGTTTCAGATGGTTGATTAGGAGGCAGCAGTCATTCGAATTTGAACCGTATCTACCCCTTGTAGGTAAAGTGAATAGTAGGTTGAATGTATGACTCTGCTGCATGCAGACTACCAGACTACCAGTATATGCTTTTCCGGGAAGCTAGTTCACAGAACAGTTGCGGAGACGTCGAAATTTCATCCCTTACTTTTGAAGCTGTGTCTCTCTCATATAAAACCGTCCCTGCAATCAAATCAGAACGAAGGTGGAATTAACAGTTAGATTCCCGCGAATAGAAGACCAATGTTCACATTTTCATTTACTTTCTGCGAGCCCATATGGCGATAATGAACGGAGGCAGTTAGATCATTCGATAGGCCAGAACCGGAACAAACGAGCGAGAGGTGAGGAGGGTTATGTCAGCGACAACGCTGGGAAGATCATCCAATGACAGTACTATTCCCACGGGTGCTTTATTACATTTTCTCAATTTTCCAGGAAATAAATCGCTTCAATGAACGACAGTTAATTAATTGTTGGTACTAGTGTCTGCGATTCATTGCATCATGGACTTTATTCGGTGGACTAGAATCTAAGCGGAGCGATAGAAAGTTCCAAAATGAGTTGGGCAGAGGACATGTTCGGCAGAACTTGATCATCATTTGTGTGTCTCTTCGCATCCTTTCGTGTCTCAAAGAGCCCAACCTAAAATGTGTCCTTTCCCGCCCTCTTCATCTTTCTCCCTCGCCCGACATCAGCAGCGACGACAAGTACCACCATGTCTCATGTTCTTCTCCTTCGTGCTCCTTCCGAAGCAGCAAATACGAATAATGCGAGTGTGAATGGAAGTACATCACAAGACCCTTATGAGAAGGCGCTTGCTCCAGCAACGTCGGTGCCTGTATACGAGACTGTCCAAACACTCGAAGAATTGCAGTGGATTCTCGAAACGGGTCCAAGCTTTCATGGATATATGGGCGTAATTGTGACGAGCAAACGTTCGGTCGACGCGTGGGCTGCAGCGGCGCGGAAAGTCCCACCGCCAGTTGACGAACGAGGTGCGTTCACAACTCACTTGCCGCGCACAACAAAATCACAACTAACGGTGATTGGAATTTGATTGTGATGTACAGCACATTGGACGAATATACCATTCTACGCTGTCGGTTCCGCAACAGGCTCTGCAGTGCGCGACTTGACGAACACACTTGCATCATGCGCACCGCACCTTGCTCCTCGAGAAGTCCTCGGCGCAGAGGAATCAGGCACAGGCGAACAACTCGCGCATTTCATTCTCGCGCGGCTTAGGGCAGAACGTGAAGCAGCCCAGTTCCCATCGTCGTCTGCTACTGGGAGCAGTACTACTAATGGCAATGGCGGAGGCACCTCCGTTTCTGGATCATTTTCCAGCACAAGCCTCACTCTCACCGGCTCAATGGAGACAGACAACCTAAGCGTGTTTACTTCAACTCACCCAAATGAACATCTCGGGCAAGGAGGGGGTGATAAGGACCAGAAAAATATTAATACCAATCTTAACGCCAGCCCGACTCCACCGACTCCCGTCTCACCCAGCCCCCGCCGCCGAGCACTCCGTCGTCCGACAAAATTACTGTTCCTCGTCGGCGACAAAACCCGCGACGCACTACCAACAATCCTCTCCGCGGACGATACAATCGAACTCGACTCCGTACAAGTATACGCGACGAGACCGTCTCCTGACTTTCCTAATGCACTGCGTAATGCTATTTCGGCTCAGCCGAAAAGTACGTCCTGCTCTTAATTTTGATCTCCCTTCTCTAATTTTTTTACTCATTCTTCCCGGTGTTTTAGTAAAAGACTGGTGGATCGCCCTCTTCGCACCCTCAGGCGCAGACTACGCTGTCCCCTACCTCCGCGAACACTTCACCCTTCCTCCCTCCACCTCCTCTTCCACCTATCCTCCAACATCTACCTCCTACTCTTCCTCCTCTTCCTCTTCGGATAAAGAGAAAAAGAAAAAGAAATCAAAGGGATGTCCACCCCCAGCTCGGATAGCCGTCATCGGACCTACAACAGCTACACACGTCCGTGAGGAGTTGAAGATTGACGTTGCTGTTGTTGCTGCTAAGCCGAGTGCTGATGCGCTGGCGGATGCGATACGTGCGGCGAAGTAATAGGTTTGAACTTTGACTAATTTCTGTCTATTTCTTTCCTTTCTTTTCTGTACTTTTTTCTTCCTGATCTATTATTTTCGAGGAGTTTTATTGGTTGATCGGTGACCACATATGTTCCCCTCCTTCCTACCCCGCTCCTCTGTACGTTATAGCCCCTTTGGATTTCGGATTTCGGTACGACAATACCTGTGTGATTATTATTTTCGTTCTGGCTATCTGTAAAACTCCCTTTTACACATCCACACCCTGCCTACCTACCTACATTCTCTCCTTTCGTCTTCATCCTTTCTACCTTAGTGTCTATCTTCACACCTTCTTTATCTTTCTATCAGTACAGACACTACTTGGAGGAATTACCCATCATCCACCACCCACTGCTATCATTACTGTCGTTCTGCTTATCACTGGACTCACATATATGCACACTTATTCCTCTCATACGTATTTCTTCCGTCTGTATTTCTAAAGGAAAGAAATTTAAATTTAAAAGATAAAACTAAACCCAATTTAGAATACTCGAAGACTACAACTTGTGTGAAAAGACAATAGGTTAAGTATGGTAGCATAAAATTAACAGTTAATTACTTTTATAATTTGTATGTTTAGGTACAATGGAATGAAGTTAAGGTTTAATAATACCACCTTTACAACATAATCAACAGTGATCTAAATACTTCATTTATCGACTTGATAGTTAGATAGAGATTTCTAACTACACAAGATGGCATTAGCCTCTTCATGTTGTTTTCTTCCTTTACATTGTGAAGACGTCGAACTCGACAATAGACCAATGTTCATTGTGCTAAAAAAAAGCAAATGAATTGAAACATCAACACAAAATACGCCAGTCAGACGAAGACGAGAAAATTAGAACAAAAATAAAAATAAAAAATCGTAAAAACTAAATTACTTACCCTCAATCCAATAATCCTCTCATCGTCCATCAGTAACCCATGATAGTCATATGACTTCTTCGACACGTACTCAACACACGGAAGAGGAGAGCTACATTTCTCATTGAATAGTTGGCGAAGCTCGGCCTCTTCGACTTCGTCGTACTCCTCTATGATACGGACGCGCTGCCACGTTGTATCCTCTCCTGAGTTCGAACTTGGAGGTGAGTCCGAGGAATCTGGAGTGTAGAAGAGCGAGTCGTCTGTGGGTGCTTCTAAGTTGACGTCGGACGATGAGAGTCGAGCGTAGGATTCGGTTTCTGGGACGAACCGTGCATCCGCTTCCTCTCTGTCGGTGCAATACGACCCCAGCAGGTTTGTACAGCCCTCCGCAAAAGATTCCATCCCGAGTCCATGATTATCTCCATCATCCATTCTATACTCAAACATTCCTTAAGTCCACTTTCATCGCCAGTGCCGGCCATCAGTTCTTCAGCGGCCACACAATATCCAGGCCGTTGCACCGCACGCGCCCGACGAACAGTATACGGGTTAAAGTCCTTAACAACAAGGTTGCCATTCTCGTCAATACCGTGACCGAGGTATCTTTGCCCTGCAGATGTCATAACTCTGTGTGGTAGCTGCATGTCGGCGGCTTGCCACCAAGCATTTGTGCTCCACAGACGCCAAGGCAAACTCGGGGCGCAAGGTTTCTTCCCTCTATCGGACTTTTTCATAACGTCAGTCAGAACAGGACTGCGTTCGAGCTCTCTAGCGATGTCAAGCAAGAACTGGCGACGTAGAACGAGTGAGATGCTGTGCCGGAGGACACCCCATCCTCCCATCTGAATATATTGCCCCTCGTTGGGGTATTCACGGTAGTAAAATCTCAGGAGTACAATTGTCTTCATCGGGTCGGGTGACATAGGTGATCGTCGCTTTCTTCTGGTGTATTCTGTATTTTCGGACCAGATTTGCGCTGCCCGTGGATGCATTGCACCCTTTGGATTAGGCTCTGACCGACACCGAATCTTGTCAATCCTGACCAGAGGTTGCAGGGCGGGGAGTTCGAGGATAAGCACCCTTTCGAATCCTATCGGCGGCGAACAATAAGGTTTTGAAACATCTGGTAGACGAACGATCTCAAGCGTGTGGTCATTATTGGGGAGTAGAATAAGCGCCGGGGATAGAAAGGCGAAATCATCCCAAGTCGACGGAGGAGCAATCTCGGTCTAACAAAGCACATAAACATTGCAAGTGTCAGCAGGATTTTGGAATGGACATGTGTACGTTTGGAGAAGACTGTACGTGCCGTAACCGTTCTGCCTTCCCACCAATTGAAGAGGAGCAGTTTATCGTGATGCTGCATAAGTCCTCCTCCGGGCATGGTTCGGGACCAGGCCAGGAGCAAGAGAAGACGTGGGGCCGACTATCTCCATCATGATCGACAGTTTGCCTTCATGTCCATAAACGGGATCAACAAAGACATCTGGGCGCTTCGCAAGAGGATGTGGTGCACCCGTAGACAGTTCCCGGAACGAGAGCACGATAGAACCCTGTTCTTCATTGAGACTAGATGAAATAAGATTTAAAAAAAGGTATGTTTCAGGTATTGCGAACAATCTCACGGAGGGGTGACTCCTACCACGGCGACAAGGTCGAACTCATATAGTCCAAAGCCACCATCCACGATATTCGTCTCAAGTTATATTTCCGGCCAAGGTTCTTCACGAACCGTCGGACCAGTTGTACAAGTTGAGAGATCAAAGAATCGTAACGTTTTAGTATCATGAGAGACTAGTGAGTTCTTGCGGTCTCCGAGGAGATAGACGCCGCCAGACAAGTCACGTATGTTTGAAGTTCGGTGGGGAACCTTGACTGTGACTTTGTGCAATGGGTCCAACTCTCGCCAAGCGCGTTCTCGACGCTCTATTTCACTTAGCTTGCACTGCATGCTGAGCGTTGGATCTGTGTCAATCATTCCGTACGTCTGCATTGCATAAGGGAGTTGGAGCTCTGGAAAGCTCTGATAGACCTCGTGCAGGAAGCGGCACAGTTTCGAAACGACGAGGAGATCTTTCCAGTCGAGGAATGAGAGGATACGAGCGACCGCTTCGACGGGCAGCTCTTCAAGCTTCATGGCTGAATTCGCTGGTGAAATGAATATGTAGGATGATGGGAAGGAGAAGGAATTGATGTTCGTCAAGTTGGTTGATGAGCAGCCTTTCAATACAACTAGCCATAAAAAGTATGCACGTGGTCTAAACCGCTGCACCATAAGCTCTGTATTGGTACCAGTACTTCTGTTGGATGGCGGGCACGGTCAGGCCATGAGCCACTCTGATCAGGCGCTTGGCTCGTTCTGACCCAATCTGACTTGACCCAGCTCACAAGGTCATATAATTAAGGTCAGGGCTTGGCGGGGTCACAGGGTGACAGGTTAGCCATTTTACATAATTTTCTGACTATATGCATGTCTGACCTAACCTGATTTCTGACGTTACCTATATTGTATGTCATATAGAGGGGGAAAATTAAAACACTATGTTAATCATGTCCCGAGTATAAATAATGATACTCATCTTTCTTAGGCCACTCATGATCAAAATAGGCATGCTTACGTGTACTAACAGGAGCAAATTTGTATTACTGGCAGTGTTTACAAGTTCGGGAACTCTACCACACATTGTCTCCTAGTACCTCCGTGAACACTTCACTGAGAGAAATTCCCATCATCCACCATTGTTAATTGTGTCATTTGCTTTATTAGTATTACAGGACACATATGCACATCTTCTATCTCTCACCCATTCCTTCTGTCTGTGACTGTAAAGGCTAGAGCCTCACTCAAGAACACAGAACAGGTAAAGACCTGGGATTGATGAGAGGTTGACCTAAGTACAGGAGCAAGTATGAAGATAATCTCTAAGTGTCTACAAATAGCCCTTTATATACTTAACTAAAGTCACGTGTGTAACCTCAGAGGTTACACTCTTCCCTACTCTGAAGAAATAAAAGGAGGGGGTAGGGAAGTAATTAATGGAGAGGTAAAGGAAAGGATATAGTAAAGGGGGGGGGAGGTAAAATGGAAGATTATAGTAAGGGGGGGGAGGGGAAATACAAAAGGGTAAGGACAGAAGACAAGGAACATACAGTCACAAGTTTAAGAAGGCTTCAACTTGTCAATGAAAACACACAGAGATGAGGACAGGGACAAGGAGTACACAATAGTTAAGATGTAAAACTGTACTGCTAGGAATGTATGAATGATACCCAACAGGTCTAGTAAGTAGTGAGTACAGTATTACTACAGATAAGGAGAAGACAACTGAGATGTTAACTAAAACACATAGTCAAGACATTAAACAGTATTGTAAGGAATGTGTGAATGATACCTAACAGGTCTAGTGAGTACAGTATTACTGTAGATAAGGAGAAGACAACTGAGAAGGTCTTGTTTGACTAACAGTAGGCTGGGTGTCAGAGGTGATAGGAGTTGTTTAGTAGTGTGAGTAAAAAGGAGTGTGAAAGTTAGAGTGTATAATAAAGAGAACTCAATAACTCTTTAGTTATACTAGTACCTACTACTTGAGGGAGGAAAAAAATGATTGAAACACATGGTTGAGAAGTAAACAGCCATTCTCAAGTGTGTATTAGTGCTAGAAGGAGTAGAAGAACTAGGTTGACAAAATTGACACACTAATTCTGAGAGTAATAAGAGTACAAGTAGTGTGTAGGTAAAACAGAGTATATAGAGGTAACAGAGAGTCTGTTCATACTAGAAGGACAAACAGGGACAGGACAGGACAGGACAGGACAGGACAGGACAGGACAGGACAGGACAGGACAGGACAGGACAGGACAGGACAGAACAGGACAGGACAGAACAGGACAGGACAGGACAGGACAGGACAGGACAGGACAGGACAGGAAAGGACTAAATAATACTAGTAGAGTATAATTCTTAGCTAGGTTTATGACTAGGAATGACACTAGCAGAGGCTTGATACTCTAGCAAGGTCTAGGACTAGAGGTGATACTAGTAGAGGCTCTAGATGTTCAGAACTAGAATTGACACTAGTAGAGGCTTAGTACTCTAACTAGGTTTATAACTAGAAAAGGGACTTTATACTCTAGGAAACAAGAGGTAATACTAGTAGAGGTCCTATATGTTTAGGACTGGAATTGACACTAGTAGGGGCTTAGTACTCTGACTAGGTTTATGACTAGAAAAGGGGCTTTATACTCTAAGAAACAGGAAGGGAAGGGAAAGGGACTTTATACTCTTAGTAGATAGTAAATAATGACAGTAGACACTAGACAGTAACAGAGCAAGAGATAGTATAGTAAGGAATAGACAGTCTTGACAAACACTTTAATAATAGAGAGATATGTATTATAGTAGGTACAACAAGTATATAACAAATACACTATAGTCAACAGCTCAATTGTAACATTTATTATACTAAAAGTAAACAGTATCTGTTAGTATAGAACCTATAGCTCCTAAAGAGAATTATACTACAGTTTCAGATATTAGTAGTAGTATCAAGATAGTACTTCCTTACACAATTTCAGAACTAGGACAGTAGGTCCTTCTATAGCTTGTTTCTTGACAGTGTTCTGGTAGAGCAATTGTGTAACAGTTCCTAACCTTAGTAACAGTACTAAGATAGTGTTCTTCTCAAACAATTTCAGGAATAGAATAGTAGAGGCTTCTACAGCTTGTTTCTAGACACTAGCTTAAGATTGTGATGAGTAGTAGAAAGGTTATGAGTAAGAGCAAGTCTGTAGATAATCTACTTAAAGTAGTATAGTAAAGCATATTCTCACATTAGGAAAAAGTCATATTTCTTATAATATATTGTAGACTTTGTAAAGTAACATAAGTATTGTATATATATTGTAAAGTAATTACAAGACTTACAAATCAATTGTAAAGTTTGTATAAGACATGTTAATGTATATAAAGGCTAAGTAAGTGTTATGGATAAATACAATCTATTAAAAGTATTATACTAACTTTGTATAATAGCCTAAAGTATTATGCTTGTATTACATTTTTATTATAATTTCAAAGAAAGAGTAATATTTACAATATAATAATGTAAGAATAATAATTGTTACCTTATAATTTATGCAAAAGGTATATTAATGTATATAATAGTGTAAGAGCACTTGTTGTATCATTATTATCTTAATAAAAGTATACTATAAGTATATAATATGTGTGTTATACTTAGACTATTTATACAAATAGTTTACAATTATTGTAAAAAGCATTTTATCTACTTGTAATAATTACATTAGTGTGTTTAGAAAGCTATATACATGTCATATTACTTTTTACTATATTACAAAGTAGATTAGTTATTTTATTTTATACCTAAATACAATAATTGAAATGTTCTATCAGTTGACAACTCATATTATAGTTGCTTATGTAATCAACTGCTGAAGATTGAGAGTATATAATGATACATTTCTCTTTGTCACTCCTTTACCTTCTACCTTTACTATCTCTCTAACCCTTTACCCTTAATACTATGTTGTCACCTCTGTTCTCTCTAGTCAAGTCCTTTACTCACAAGTGTCCTACCAGTAGGCACTCTACCTACAACAACATAGGCAACAAACATTACTGTACTTGTCTCTCCAATCTACTACTATAATGCCTACACTGAGTCTTGGATCTTGTAATAACACAACCTAGCTGACAACACTGTCCTTCAGTATAAAGTGTAAGTAGCCAGCCTACTTCATAATAGTCTGTACAATAGTTGCTCATCCCTCTCCTCCCAACTTTTTGTCTCCCTTCCATCCCTCCTACTCCTTACTCTGCCATTTGTGTTGCCTCTCCTTTACTGTCCTCACTTTTTTATGTTCACCTTCCTTTTTGCATTTGTGCACACATCCACATTGTTGACTAATGCTAAACAACTTCTTCAATAATTCCATACATTTGTGTACTTCTTCCTACTCTGTAGTACAGACAACAATAATGAGCACACACTTGTAACAATGTCCATGTCAGATTACTCCTAAGGTACAATCCTCTCTCTGACTCTATGTATACTCTTCTTCCCTACCCACCATTCTATGCTTGACATCCTTGATAGACTCACACTGTGTACCTTTACATTCTCTAGTACTGTCTATAACACTATTTTGAATAACAGAAGTAGTAGCCACTACTTACCCCTCCTGAGCTAAGTCTGTTCACACCTTACACATTGTCTTCTCCCTTCAAGCTAGAATGTTCTAGAGATACACTTTGCAATCAATGACTCAGTTTACTACACCTCCTATTAGACACTATAGATAGACAATAGAGTACATGCACACAGACACAATTTTGTCTACAGTCCAAACCTGCTTGTTTAACACTCTGGATCTTAATCTGTATACACTACTCACACTCACTACACACTGTCACAGTGTACCCATCTTTTCTTGCTTGTTACTACTTGCTAATCTAAACCTGTCTCACAGGTACAGCTCTCCCTTTAGGCCAGAACACCCTGGGAATACACCCCTCAGTCAACAGTTCAGTTCACTACACCTCTGATTGTAAGACATAGTCAGAGTATACAGTGTACACATATAGATACAGCTTTGCCTACAGCTCAAATTAGCTCATTCAACACTCTCTAGTACACTACTCACTCACTACACACTATTATAGTGTATCCATCTCCTTAATCCAGTTACCTACTCACACTGACAATGCTCACACCTACACTCTTAGCTAATCAATCTTACAACCTGTCTCACCCCTAATTAATGTAGATTATAATGTATTTATATAATGTATTAATATAATTATAAACTGTTATTTTAATAACAAACAGATATAAGGGAAAATAACTATTATTAAGATATTAAAATGATTTAAGAGCTTTATAAACAATTATAATATTTGCCATAATTAACAAGAGTGATTTAACCTTGTAATTTTAGAGATCCATTATAATGCATTTTATATATTGTTAAGGAGAATAACTCTTATTTATGTTTACAAACTATACAAACCTTTCAGACTTTATAATGAATTGTAGTACTTTCTCAGAAACCAAGATCCATTCCAAGTGTTTTTACTTTTTTTACTTTTTTCACTTATTTTATACTATTATAAGGTAGTATAAGAATTTAGACTTTTTCCTGATACAAGTGGCAGAACCTTAATTGTAGACAGCTGACTAGACACACAATGACACACAATGTGCCCTACTCTGGTACAACCATATACAATCTTCATAGCACATTCTCCCAGAAGCCTGGGACCTCTGATGAGGGTCTGTTAGGAGATTGAAGGTTGGCTAGCAGGTGGTAACAATCTCCCTATAAGCCCTTGAGAGAGAACAGGATATCTGTATAGCATTTGTGACACTCATAATTAACTAGAGTCTTACTGTAGAGTACTGTAGATGTGTAGTAGATAGTGGACATGTGGGGGGAAGCCAGGGGGAGGCTGACAATCTGGTGGCACAAGTGAAAGGCAGCAGATGAGAGGTAATCCCTAAATTTTGCAATGTTAAAAAAAAGTGTAAAGGCTGGAGCCTCACTCAAGAACACAGAACAGGCAAAGACCTGGGATTGATGAGAGGTCAACCTACAGTGTGTGTCAAAAGTATTGCAACACACCATGTGTTTTTCATTTTGCCTCTACACGTCATTCCACACAACACTTATGCCCATATAAATTACATGTAAATTAAGTGTGATATACTGTGAATATATGTATGTAAAAAAGACTGCAAAATGTGCAGTAATTATACAAGACGGACGGATCTAAAAAAAACATAGCTGTTGCATTACATATGC